CACAAAAGAGGCAAGCTAAAGTCATTGTCCTATCGTCTGGTTGTAGGCCTTAGTCTATCTGACATTTTTGTTGGAATATTCGGTTTGTCTGACATGTTTTGGGAATACAACGAGACCTCAAGTAAGGATAACCAATTGAGCTTTGCGATTTTTACAATTTACATCTGTGAGAACTTTTGCGTTAACTTTTCAATAGCATTTGTGTTGATCATTGCAATTGATCGGTATATACACATGAAATACACGTTGGTGTATAGCGTATACATGACGCCGAAGCGTGCAAAAATGCTTGTTGTTTTAAATGCTCTTTTCACTGCACACATGACAGTGTCGACAGCAATACTTCCAAAGTATGCGAAATCGTTTCTTCTGCGGAATCTAAAGTCTTATCATATATACAGAGTTGTTCTTAGTCTCGTGTATATACTGCTGATACTAATGGTGTGTATTTTGTACCTTTCGACCTACTTGTCACTAAGACACCGAGTTGAAAGTTCTGTATCGCCGCATCAGATCCCGACATACCAGAATCGGCCTTCTCAAAGTTCAACAGCTGGCATCAGAAGACGCAGACGGCAAAGCCCGGATCAAGAGTTTGCTAAAGCAATGACAATCATTATACTTTCACTTTTGTTATGCTTGATGCCAAATCTGAGCCTGTCTTTTTATGAAAGAGCCACCATGCTGCACCAGGGCCTTCCTTACGCCAGGCCTAAGTCAATCATTCTTGCACGTCGATGGTCGTATCTTGTAATGATTTTGAACTCATCTCTCAATGCCCTAGTTCTAATTCTATGCACAAGAGACTTGCGGACATACATCAAAAATATTTTCACGAGTTGATAAACAGGCTGGTTCATCCGAACACATCTTTTAGTCCTTGCTTTCTAACTAATACTTTTAAATCGGTTATCAACCTAAATCAAATTATATAAAGACCCAAGTTGAGAAAACAATTACGTACCTAGCGTCGAGGTTTGATCAAATGTTGCACTATATTTGTTGAACCTTTATTTATAGAGCGTAATGATCGATCATTTTCATCTTGATTATTAACATTTTACGGTGTCATTTAATCAGTTTTACAAGAATGAAAATGCAAAGTTAATGATTCAATTCAAACAATAATATACTATAGTTATAGAGTTAAACCTGTTATGTTTCTGATAACTAAACGTTATTGTTTCGTTTTTAATCTTCAAATATCAGTTACTGCTACTAATGTCTACGATTTTGTTGTTCCATTGAATGTTGGTGGGTACGATGAACCCCGAAGATGGCCCTCACCTGTGCCTATGATGTTATAAACGACCCTTTTGCTCTGAAAATACCACAAGAAGTAAACTGCAAAAACTCTGACAACTCGATCTTGTAGGTCATCGATCATCGTGTTCATTCGGAACCTTATTCTGACGTTTTAAGCTCCGAGGAGTGTCAGACAAAAAATCTTTTAGTATGTCGTAAAATGCTTGCTTTTTTCAAAGCCATTTACTGAATAAATTCTGAATCTTAGCTTTTTAAAACCGTTATTGAAGAGAGTAAAGCAAAAAACAAGATTGAAATGGGTTTAAAGATATTCTGCTGATTGTTTTATTAATCTTAAAGAACATGTTTTCTTAAGTCAAAACATGATCTGGTTTGTGGAAAGTGCATTCACTTTCGTGCTCTTAGACTTATCAGTGTTCGAAGATAGATGAAAATAATCCGCTTATAAAGGATCTATGTTCAATATGCTCTAGATATCGCACATGTGCCAGAGAAATCATTGAAGTGAAATTCCCACTCGCCAGACAGAAACCACAATGACTAGAGGATATTCAATACGAAATAAGCACTGGATGCTTCAAATCACTGCATCCACACCAGAATTTTTAGGGCCACGACTATTAGAGTTAATCATACTTGGCAAAAGTCATGCAAAATTTGTGCATATCATAAAAGAAGCAAATACGATTAGTGCCTAATCGTTTGTTAATATATTTGCAACCCATGTTTCATCGAGGAAATAAGGCCTTTCGCCAAATTTATAAGAGAAACAGGTAAAAATAATTGTCCTGCATCTCATTCACAATGAGAATCACAGATACATCTCGTCAAAGAGGAAAACTTTCACAAAACCTTCAAGTAAGCAAAGTTTCAACTGCTGATCAATTTATTCTTCAAGTTTCTTTGCTTCCAAAATTTTCTCCAAATGTCGATGCTTATTCTTGAACGATTAAATGGATACAAGGGCTAAGTTTAGCAAGTTTGTGTAATTCCAAACAATTATAATTCAATTTTTCATCATTCGTTTTTGCCAATAGCTTTCTATTTCTATCTTTCTACTTCTTATTTTCAACATTTTTTTAAAATTAAAAACTTTGCAAAATGACTATAAATATGCCTTTTTGCTGGACAATTTCATCAATAATCACAACACCTAATACGTAACTTTATGAGGAATTGAATGAAATTGGAAAAAATGGTAAATACTAGATAAATTTGTTTTCATCATAAAAAAAATTAAGCCATTAAATCAATAATAAATGAAAACCTGCGACTTTGAACTTAAACGTATCACAAAAATAGCAGACTCAGCTAACCCTTATGAATAGATGCATGAGTTTCTCGTTTTTATTGATGAAAGCGACAAGAAATATATGCACATGGCCTCAAACCATTATCTTGAGCAGAAGAACGTTTATATTTGAAAGACTCATTGCTAACAATAGGCCATTGCTCTACGCAAGCATCCCATAATGCATTTTTAGACTGTCTGAAATAAATTTTGGTTAATCCGTAGAAGTTTACTGCCATTGTTTGGACCGTCGCCACGCTCGCAAAGGCCCATTACTAGCAATGATTCTTTAAGCAATTTTGTGTTTAGATCCAATAGATTTTAACCTGCTTTACACAAAAAAAGAATGATGATGCAAGTTCTCCATTAAAGGTTTTTGGGTTACCTTTAAGCATATCTATTTCCATTTGAATTGACAAAATAAGTCTATATTGATTACGAAGACTGACGTTGAGGCGAAGTCAAACAAAATGTTAGTCAGGTTTTTACTTACGTTTGAAAATTATGATTATGTTATGTTTCCTCTTTTTAATACTTTTTCATTTCTTCTCTCTATGCAGGATGCAAAATTTTGAAAGTGTATATTAACACATCGAGCATAGCTAATAAAAATATAAAACTGCATAAATTGATAAATAGGCATCCAAAATTATTCAAAAGGACGAATGCTATTTTGTTCTTTCTGCAAAACTTTTCTCACGCATTTTCTGTAATTCAAGACTTCTGTTGAGTATCTAAATCATGCTATTTTTTATCTAGAACTTTGATCGCCTGCTCGTGGTGTCATAAGATTACAAGTCTGGTTTCAAGATGTTTAAAGAATTAGGATGTCTTAATGTATCATTTAAGACTGTTACGATAGACAATCTAGACCAAAACTAAGCACAAAGATCATATTGTATTCCAGGCTTTTGCAAAATTAAATTTTCCTTTAAGTGTTAAGATACCTTGATTAAAGTATCTTTGCAGAAAACGCTATAAGCTGTGCAAATAATGCTCCATGTCGGCTCTTCAAAATTCCCGAAAAAAGGAACGAGCTTGCAAGTGATTTAATTTCAAACAGCTGCGTAAAGAAAATCTAAAAGTGCTGCTAAGCGTAGACTAGAATTATTCAAACTGCATAAAAAATTTTGTTAATATATTTTCAACTTTTTTTTAATTAGAAATTCAGGAATGGTGCAAAAGTCTTAGTCTAATTGAGAATTCCATTGAAGTTTTAAAGCAAAGGAAAACCTTTTGCTTGCAACATCGTAGCCTGCCTGTAGCTGTCGTGGATAAGAAGATTATTAGGGTTTATCCAGGGCCTGCGCCACAGAGTAACTCTATGGGCTATTCCTCACCGTGTTCACATGAGAAAACCTCAATCCTGATGAAAGAGTGATCTCTACCAGCTTTGTAGGAACAAGCTTTTACAAAAGAAATTGTCAGCCCTTGTTCTAGATTAACCCCATTACTCAAACCTTGGGTAATTCAGAACTACGGGCACTTTTGGGATAAAAAGGGGATATTCTTCATATTAAAAGAAATGCATTTCAGAATAAAGAGGACACAAAATTATAGCTTGAACAAAGTGGGTGGGGAACGTATCCCGAGCACCCCCCCCTCCCTCGTTTCTACACCACTGTAAACAGCCTCTTGAATATGTCCACGTAAATGCAAAATAATTGAGGACGGAAAATGTATTTGCCAAACAACAGGTGATGAATTTCAGCCAACACAGGAATAACAAGAAGATGCTAACATGATTTTTGACCAGAGACATCAAAAAGAAAAAAGAAAATTTTCTTTAAAAATAGAAAGTCAGGTAACATTGTATACTTAAACTAACATTGGAGTAACAGGAAAATTAAAGACGGGTTTTTTTATCCGGTTAAATTTGCTCAAGGATCAAACAACATTGCAATATATATATATAAATGCAATTTGCGGGTCTCTGTGAAGACGAGCAGTTAATCAGCGAGTAGAACGCAACTCTGAAGAAGATACATCCCGCTTTAGGTACAAGTCGGTTTTACTTCATTGACGTTTGAAAGGTGAGGATCTTTTGATATAATTTGGTTCTATATAGTCTGATCAGTAAACAGGTTTTAGGGCAATACAGGGAAGAAATACATGAATACTTTGAGTCAACGAAATCTTTGAGCTGCAAGGTCCTTGCTTTTAATTATATTGAAATTTTCAAACAAATTGTATATACCAGCAATCTTATGGTTCTATTCACATATGCTTGACTTCAAGTTTGAAAAGTTGTCTCTTCTTAGATGGAGACGTAACGTTTGTGAGAGGTTCTTTCAAACTTGACATTGCAGATTCTACTTCCATATTATATATGATCTTGTTTGAAGGAACATATCTATTTGTTATATAGAAAGCTGTTATCTTTTCTAGACAGCTGTGCTCCAGACAAAGAAATCAACAAGGTGATATCAAAAAGACTTTGCCAATGATGAAGATTTTTTATCAGTTTGAATTATTATCTGCCTTGTATCTACTGAGTATCTTGATAAACTCGTTCCTAATCTATGCTGTTTGGCGACAGAAAAAGCTCAGTATAACTTCTTTTCAATTTGTTGCATGTCTCAGCTGTTCAGATATACTTTTGTGTTCGTTTGGCTTGCCAATTGCAGTGATCTACATTACAGCTTCACGCTCCTCGCAAGCACAGTTTTATGATGCTTTGGTTATCCTTGGCATCTTAAATGCATTTTTTACTAACACTTCTACTGGTATGATCCTAATAATTGCAGTCGACCGATTTATTCATATGAGATATTTGCTGCGTTACAGAGAAGTCATGACCAAATATCGTGCTTTTGGCCTAATTCTTGGCAACTCTCTTGTTGCTTCGCATACTGTTATAATTGGTAAGGTTATACCATTGTACAGAAGGGAATTTGTCCTGGCAAATCTGCGAGGCTACGTCACTTACATAGTGACATTTGATATTTTTTATATGCTGATGATAATATCCATATTCTTTATTCATATCGCGACGTTTCTAACAATAAGAAAACGCACGAAAAATCAAAGAAGTTCAATTAATGCAAGCTCCTCAAGAACACTGCATGGGAGAACAAATGATGAAACAAGCTTTCAGGAAACCATTGACTCAAGCAAATGTGGCACGAAGAGGGGACAAAGAAGGGCCAGAAGAAAATCCGATAGGGAGTTTGCTAAAGGAATGATCATTGTCTTCGGCTCTATGCTGTTTTTCTTTCTTCCAAATATCTGCATAGCAATCATAAACAATTTACTGGTCATCTCAAATGAACGAGCTTTGCTCCTAAAATTATTTCCTGTTATTATTCATGTCAGGCATTTGTCCTACGTCGGAATCGTTATGAACTGTTCCATAAATGCAGTGATCTTGATTGCGTTTAGTGCAGAACTAAAGAGGTTCACAAAGCAGCTCTTGTGTTGCAGCAAACGCGTCGATGTTGGCTAAGCGGGAGGTGAAACTCTTTCTCAGCTGCATCTGAGGAAGAACATCATGTCAACCGTCCGTGAATACACTGCATAACTGCATCACCAAAACTGGCGTAACGGACTACAGTTACCGTTAGTTAAAAAACTAAGGGCCCCATTAACGGGGCCTAGAAATAATCTATTTTACTTTGAAGCTGGCATTCTGGATATGATGAACGAGTTTAAGAGGCTCAAAACGTGTATGGTATTTCAGTCTAAATAAATTGAAAGTATGTTGATACTTTGTCTCTTTTGTTTTTCTAATGCTTATGATTTGAGGGGCCCGAACTGAAATCCCCGGCTGCCTTCATTAAGCCACTGACCATCAAAGAGAAGTGACGTATTCTCACATGAAATTTATGTCAATGCTGTATTCTATTGTACAATCAATGTTTGATCTGCAGTATGATCTCAATTTAAGTGCTCTGTAGGATGAATAGAGGGATATGTGGTGAAGGGGGTACGTACAGAGAGAGCTAGAAAGGAGATAGGAAGGAAATGTTGGAGGACGACCAAATGATGGGGAGTAAGGAGAGAATTTAGAGATATGACAGGCAAATAAGGAGTTGATGTTTATATTGTCTTTTAGGTTTCTCTACAGATATATATATATATCATCTTGCCAAAGTCGTTCGCTGCATCATATGGTTGCATAAACTCTTACAAGTGACAATTTTGCAGAATGCCAAACTTTTGTAGAATGCCTAGAGGGCTCCGCTATATAGAGTCAGATAAAGCCGGGGTGAACTTGGTAAAATAGGTAGCTCATAATTGTTGTGTAAATTTTGACTATGAATGATTAGTGAATAGTTATCGAAGGAATATAGATTGAACAAATAGGTAATTGCAGTTTAAGAACTTGATATTAAGTCTTATAGGGGGAAGGGGGTAGAAAAATCGTAGATCCGCTATATTTTCCTCACAAACAACAATTTCGCTACATTCTCCACGTTCAAAACGCATTCGGTTGCTCTCATTCACTGTATGTAATAAATCAACAGCCAACTTTTGGATCAAGAATCCGCTGGTTTTCGCTAAAAATTCAGAGTCCGCTCCAGATAATTGTCAAAATCAGACATCCTCAATCTACTAGATCCCCAAATCCAGAACAAAACGATGCAAACCCCTACTCCGCATACAAAGATACCTCCGATCTCCGGGTCCCTACAGCCCCCTCTATAAAGTTTTAACAGTGAAAGGGATTTTCAAGTCATCAGTCATTGCAACCATGTATTTAATATTGCGTTTTCCGATGCCAGATGAGAAAGGGCTCTTTTTCATCATTAGTAATTTCATCATCCATTTACTCTGAGTGCCAGGGCCTCAGAGAGTCAGAGGATGAAGAACAGGGGACAGAAATTGCAAAGGAGAATGGAAGAGAAATGGAGAAATGCCCTTCCTCTTCCATTTTCCTTTCCATTTCCTTTCCCCCGTTTTTCATTCTTTGATATTATGGACTCTGGCACCCAGGATACCATTCATTCCACTTTTTAAGATTTTTTCTACAATGAAGCAAGCAAGGAAAATATTTGACTTACAAAGAAAAAACAGTTTGTTGAATGTTCTCTCCTAATTTCCTCAGTTTCCTCGCTCCCTCCTGTTTGCAGGTGCTTCAGACAACTTGTTGTTTAAAAAGAGCTCTGATCTTCTATTATATGAAAATAATAACTCGAACAAAAAAAATTGACAAGCATTTACACATCACACTGATAATTTGCGAAAATGGTTTTTTTTCCTTTCAAATTTCCTTTCAAATTTTGCACAGTATCTTATCTCAGCAAAAAACCTTCGAATGTTAAATATTTAATTTGACTTTTCAAACTGTAATTTCTGTTGCAGATGTAGTGAAGTCATTTCCTATTTTACCAATTTTATTGGTAAAACTTTGCAGGTGAAACAAAAACATTTCTTGGAAACTTTTTTATGTTATAATAAGGAACTTGGAGCATTTGCAACGACAGATGTTCACACTACTCCGTTTTCAAATGAAATCAAACTAATCCGCTTTTGCCTTGCGTTCACACTACTCTGCTGTGAAAACGGAGTCGTTTGAAAACGATAATGAAAACGGATACTTTCGAATACGGTGCGTATTGAATACGCTCCATTTTCAATGCGAAGACCTAAAACGGAGACATTTGAATACGCTAACAACGGCAAAAACACGTGCTTTCTAGCTAGCACATCAAATCTCAAAGATTTTGAAATTGAGAATTCACAATGGACTGGTAACTGTTACAACAAAGTTTTGCTTTGCTTTTATTCACGATTTGCTTTTATTTAATTTCATTCATAATGACGCCAATTTGTTGAGGATTCATGAACGCCTCTTTTCAAAAATGAGGCCACCAACAGCGTTTTTGTTGGAGTAGTGTGAGCATTTACCGTATTCAAATCGTATTCATTTGAAAACGGATAAGTGTGAGCGGACAGCGTTTTCATCAACGTAAACGGAACACAATGAATCGGAGCAGTGTGAACGTACAATCACTGCCAAAAGTCTTGGAACACTAACGTAGGTTTTCAAAGGTAAATTCAGCCATCCCCCTCTCCCCCTAGGAACAATGTTGATTTACTTTAGAAAAAAGAGAGGGGTTATGGAGTACGCTTTTTCTTGTGGATTGTTTGATATTTTTCTATACTTTCAACATTGTTTTGGGGGGAAAGGGGGGGCGGAAGTGGTAGTATTCAAGAAAACAAATGAAAAATAGAAAAGCACAGCCCAAAGTGTTAGGTGTTCCAAGTAATTTTGGCAGTGATTGTAGCCTCAAAGAATGCTAAATGAAGGTCATCCTAGCAACTGCAGGTCTTATATTAGGTAAAATCAGGTATTCATTTTAAAGAAACTGATAAAAAACTTATTGCACCAAGAAGCTGTGAAGTGTTACGATTATGAGGAGGATATTATAAAAATAGTTGTATGCTATTCGTCTGTGAACATAGACAGATAAAAATTTGTTTGTAAAATTTAACCATTTATAGCATTTTTAGATGCTTTATGCTCTTAGATGCCAATACTTATAGGTTTCAGGTTTATTTATTGGGGATGGGTGGGGGTGTCAGAAAAATGAAATATTATCATTGCAAATGCAATCAACATTTTCTTCATAGGCTTCTAGCATACAATTTTATTGAAATTTTGCCATACTTTTATGTTTGGAAACTCATTGGACGGAAGGATGTCGAACGGGTCAGGAGACAATTTTAGTGGTTGGTACACAAAGTACTTCACAGATATTGCTACCCATCGTTCTGGTTTTTAGTCCGTTTTTCAGATTTATGAGAGAAAAGGTTTATCATTGTTTTTGGGTAGCGAATCATGAGAAGAAAGCTGCTATTACCAAAACTCTGATAGAAGTTAGAGAGGAAGAGAAGCTGATTTTTTTTACTCTTCAGGTGATCGTCGCACTGCATTTCTTCCACTTCTTCTGCACCAGAACAGGTTAACTGCTTTCTCAATGACAGCAAAATCTTGAAAAAGCTAGTTAAACCCTGTCACAAGAAATGCAATGACAGACATCTATTTCTCCTTCTTATTAGAGAGGTCAACATTTGGAAAAACAGTCTTGATATAAGGCAGCGTTGATCTAGTAGATTTTCCAGTTGCATCTCAAACTGGCTTTGCTTACACATAAGGTTTACACGTGCCAATACAAAAGGTTTACACGTGCCCATACAAATGTGACACAAACTGTTTTTTTGCCTTGACTTGCCTTTGCCTTGCAAGCTCTTGTTCAGGGTATGCATATGATTATGTTATGATAAGTCGAATCGATTGCCTTTAACGCTTCATGTGTGGACCATATTCATATATTTAGAGCTTGTATACCCATATACAAGCTCTAAATATATATGACCATATATGACCATATGCTGGCCAGCAGAAACGGGACTTTGTCACAACAGGAGTTTGAACACCCCTGGTTTGAATACTGTAGATTATCAGTTGTAATGGATATACGCTATTTTGCCCGAAACCTTTTGATTTATCCTATCTTTTCTAGCATCTTTAAAGGTCAGCGCATTCGAATTCTGAGTAAAATGTTCGAGTATTTGTGTTGGCAAATTTATGGAATTCCTGCAAAAGACAGGCTAAATTTTGCAAAATTCTAGTTTACTTTTTGTAAGTATCTCAACTTTATTGTTGTTCTTAAAACATAAAACATGGCATAAAATTATGCACCTCATATTTCATATAACAAACTGTTCTTACGACCCAACTTTTGTCTCAGACTGGCACATCGCCTTTTAGATAGATATAGGTTTGAATTTTTTCAAATTGATTTTGTTTAGTCGAGTCTCTGTGCAAATTTCATTTCCTTTCAATTTCCATTTCTTTTTACTGTAAAGTTACCCATATGACCATTCTCCGTAGGAGATTTTATTGTGCCGTGACAGTTATGGTGAAATACTGAGAAATCAAGAGGCTACAAGAATAAGAAGTAGGTTATGTTTTGCTTTTGCCATAATTTAACTAACTTCATTTAATAATTTCTTTAAACAAATTCAAATACCAAGAAAGATAAATTACTAAAAATTTTCTAACTATCCAAGAACTGACAACACAGACTTTGTGTACCAAACTGCTTCGCTTGCAGTGTACAACTTCAACAATAGGGCATAGAGCTTTTTCTTATGGAACCCATCGATTTATTAAACTAAGGAATGTAGACAGGGTTCGTTGAACAAATAACGACATATCAAAATATCCTTTATATTTAAAGCTAAGGCTATACAGATAAATGAAAGGGTTTTCGAAAGATTCAATGTTCAAGAATCGCCTTATTTGTTAATTACGACAGGCTACCGAGAAATCTTTAACCACGTATCTCGAGGGAGCGTCTTTCTAATGCGAGGAATTACGCGTGCTGTTTTAGGGGTATCAAGACTTCATGAATTGTTTTTTCTATTACAAACAGTCATTGATCTCATTGTAGCTTGTATGTTAAGTAATACATAAATGCGCTGTAGTCAGATATTCCATTTATTCTAAATCGGATTAAATTTAAAGGAATTATCTTTCCAGTGTCACAACATATAATGATTTTTATGCCTCAATAATGAGAAAGCCACGCGTTCAAAAGGTTATTGAAGAGAAAATCATAAATTTCGTCATAAATATAACTTTGAAAATTCTAAAAACTCCTGAAACGATACATAGCTTTCGAGCATAAGCAAGACCAGAAACCGTGTAAAACCACAAGATTGTCTTTGGCTTCTAATGATATGAATGATGAAATAAAATATAATCATGGTTCAAATACGCTTATTCAAGAAAGGGCTGCAGTTTGATTGACATAATAAATAAAACATAAACATTGTTAGATGAAAGTAAGCAATTAAAGAGAATAGAGGGGCATAAATCAATGTACTCTAAAAACGGTTTCCAATTCCATTCAGTTTGCATAACAACACCGAGCTACATATATACTGATGTCCATAAATTCAAATGTATTTGACTCCGTAATAAACGCTCTGAAATGCCTAATATCTAAATGCATGCAAGGCTAGAAGTATGTATGAGCCGAGCACAAACGAATCGTGACCCGCGTCCTACCCCATAGAACTAGACTGTACTCAATACCTTCCTATCGTTTACTCTAACACTGCTCCCTTACAAAATACTTGCAGACGTTCACTCATTTCTGACATTACTCTGCTGCTCACATCCCACCGTTACAATTTCGATACCGTAAGCATGCTTCGAATTTTCATGGTTTTCCTTGTACCAAGATTCTGATACTTTCAGCGAACTTCAACGCGTAAACTAAGATTCAAGCGCGATCGTTTAAGCGAAATTTATCTGACAGATTATATAAATTTAATAGGTTTCATACAATTGATGACTGACCGGCAACTCGCCGCTGAGATCTAAACCGCTGCCTTAACAGCGAATATCTGCTCTCCAGAACTGGGTAACCTGCTCTCCAGCACTGGGTAAGAATTTTCATTCAATTTTTATGTAATATCGTTGGAGTGCAGTCGCTCAAATGACTCTCTGGGCGGCTATCAATTTCGCTTCTAGGCAACCTGAGTGGCGGAATTATTCACCCAAAATTATTCTTCAAGTCCTACCATCAGATATTCGAATATTGGGATTGAACTTTGGATCAAGATGCTTATCATGATCAGCAAAAGTACGTCCAGCTCGTGTCAGTAAAAGGATAACAGTCATGAAGCCGAGAACAACGAGCAGCATGATCACTGAAACTCTTTTGAACGTGATGTTAGGGTCATCTGCTGCGTATCGAACATTACTCCGCAACCTAAACAAAATGAAGGCAAAAACTTTTAAAAAATATACTAATGCACATTATGCATTAAAAACAAAAACATATCCTAATGCTACCAAACAATCTAAACAGTAACTTTTAGAAATGTACAATGATTGGAAGACAAATTATACAAAGTTCAGCTCTTACATTTTAAAAGGTCAAAATTGATCAATGATCGTCGGGCGCATTTCAAATCTGAAGAGACAGAGGTAGGAGGGGGTACTATGTCCCAGAAGAAGGGGCATTTGTTCAACAGTGGTAACGAAGTTCCTTTTTAAGCAAAAAGCATTATTCCCATATTTAGGGGAGGGGGCACGTGCCCCTGTTGTAATCTGGTTACGATATCCCCGAGCAATAGAATTCTTTCTCCAAAACTTTGCTATCAACAATTTTGCCGAAAACAACACTGACAAAACACTAACCAACATAATAACATATTTTCGAAAATTAGTAACTCAATCGTTTAGTCTTGACCAACTATAATGTTTGCGACTATTGGAAAACAACACCAACAGGGTTCGAACGCAGCTACGTAAAGAGGGATTTGTAAACAAACAAAAACTTACCGAAAAAGTCTCGAAAGCCAATGTCGGATTCCTTTGCGCCGGTATTTATCATCGTCGTGATCAAATGACAGTTCAATCTTTTCTTCTTTCTTCGCCTCCGGGACTCTTCTCGATGCAGCTGATGCTAAGAAAGAAGTCGCTTATACGTCAAGAACGCTAATGAAGAATCCTTAGAAATCATTGGAGCTGGCGCATAGCTTTAAATTTGAAGATTTTCGGTGTGATTTATAGGACATTTCACTTCACACCCAGAGTAACGTTTGCAAGAAAAGCTTGATTATTAGACCATACGAACAGAACTAGGACATGGTACAGACTATCATACATTAATAAAAAAAACTTTGTTGAAACTTTAACTTGATATGTCAATAATATTACAGTTGATAAACACTCCGTCGTCTGCACGATCGTTTACTTTCATGAAATCCATGATTTTCCCAGAGACTGTTCCTTCCAAATATCCTTTATCAAATATCCTTCAAAATGTTGTTGTAAATGGGACTTACTGTCAATTCTTAAAATAACAATTTAACTATACGAGGGAAATGTGAATCTGGATTTGCAAAAAATTAATTGAACCACATCAGAACTCATGACCTTGGTCTAAAATTCCTTTGGGTCTGAGATAACAAGGACATACCTTCATTTTGAAACATTTCGCGCACATAGGTATTTTGCGATATCGCGGATGCTTGTGGCATTTCATGCACATGGGATTGCTCCATTGAATCGTCAATACTGGATAAATTTGCAACAACCGCAGAAGAAGAGCCATCTACATGCTCTTTTGAACTATGGTTTACAGTCACTTCTTCTTTTCTGGATAAATTTGAAGGACTTGGCACTTCTTCCTTGGCTAAATCTGAGTTATAAAAGAACATAGCAAACAGATTACATAACACTTAAAGCTTTTTTAACACTTAGCCACATCAATGTCCAGGAAATTTAACAAAATCGGTAAGCACCTCTATAACTATTTATTGAATAAGCCTCTCGGCAGTGGCGAAGCCAAGGGGTGGTATAGGGGGAGGGGGGTTAATTACAGATTAAAACGCACTGGGTATGGGTAGATCAAATTTCCTAAGGAAAGTTAACCTGTTACAGAGTATTGAAACAAGGCAGAGGGGGCGTGATCTCACTGGCCACGCCCATTACCCTCCCACTCTTTAATAGCTGGCACCACCACTGCCTCTTGCCCTTAATTTTTCATACTGGCACATAGGATATTAGGATGCACTTATCAGAACTAGAGAAAATAAGTGAAAAATGTGTTTCCATGAGCATTAGGCAAAAGGCGCTGCAGAGGAAACAACAAAATTTGCACAGAATCCAGAGTGAATAAAAACACAAAGTGAAAAAATTTTAAAATTATTATGCAAGCAAGGCCGTCAATTCATTAGGGGGTTTTGAAATCTCTTTAAATTAAAACTAAAATCTGGATCTTTGGAGCCAGAAAAAACTTTGGGTCCTCAACAAAAGGATTTAACAGCAGTTGATCAGACAGAAACAATGGTCCAAAATGAAAGGATATTCATACCTTGTGTAAACTTTGGAGTAGGCTTGGCTGGAGCCTTGAAAACAAAATGAAGAACAGCTATATAGTTAAACTTTCTTATCAAATTTCGTAGAACAACTTCGCTTAAGTGAGATCCAGGATTTTCACTATCTGGTACCAATTTTCAGTTTCATCTGAGCTTAAAAGTTTGTTTATGTGTGAAATTCGGAATTGATTTTCATATCACTTCGATGAATGTCTTGCATCACTGAATTAACGTGAAGTATTTAACTTTAGCTTATCCATAAAAAAAGTCATATTCAAATGCAAAAATACATTGGCAAAAATTAGTTCCATTAAGGTTTCTAGCAATTGAACATTGGGTGTCTCATTCTATCCATCCATCAAATAATTTGTAAATCTATCGCAAAATGAGACATGCTTTCATGTTTTTCTTTATTTGCCCACTAGTTAACAGGAGATTAGCTTAACTGGGGCATTGTCTGAGTGGGATGATCTTCTATGTCCCCTGGAGGTCCCAATTTATTGAAAGAAGTGTCGTGTAGAATTGAATGCTTTTTAGTTGCAACCTAAATTGGACAGTAATATAACTTTGGCTAGAAGTGACAATGATAACAAAATGACTTATTTTGAAAAGCTTACAAGGAAAAACCTATAAATGAGTTGTTAATGCACTTTTAATGCTTTCATGCATCAATTATCAAATTTTTGCTTCAATATTAAACTTGTTATGGCACTTCAAAAAAAAAGATTTAGGTTGGAGCAGTTTTAGTTTGCTATAACTCTGAAGCACAATAAAGCTTTAGAGACATTCTTAAAATTTTCTGAAACAATAATGGGCTTTGAGTTGGAATGATGGTGCAAAAGTAAAAAAAGGCAATGGTGGGGAAATTACATTCCCAGACCGGTGAGAAAAAATTTCTAAAAACCAAAAAGAGAATTATCGGGTTAGTCTTGACATTGAATACTCTATATCATTGAACGCAATGAGAGATATTACAAAGCTTTCACTTACCATCGTTGGTAAGCCTAGCTTTTTTCTGCCCCAAGCAACTGTTGCCAGCTTTTTTCTGACAGCATCAGCAACTGGCGAAACAAGTTTCTCAGATGGAATTAGATTAGCCTGAAATGCAACAAAATTCCAGTAAACACTGATTGACAGAATAAAACACAAATAATTATCCTACTTTCTTATGTATATAGATTGCCTAGTAAATTTTGCAAAAGTGCTGATCAAAAGCACAGACATACCATATGAAAACTGGTATAATTAGGCTTTATATATATATCACATACTTTAGTGGCCACTACTAACTCCTGTATTAATTTTTTTCCTTTGTTACATAAAGGTTAAATTCTTGAAATGCTAGAGATCTAATCGAAATCTTTTTGTTTTGAAGATGTAGATGAATAAATTTAAACAGAATATTGTGTTGATAAAGGTAATAGTGAGCTGCTGGGTACCTTACAAACTGAGCAAGTAATTTCAGGTGACTTTGAATCCTCAGAAGCTTTCAAGGCTTGCCTGTTAATGCAATCCCAGTGAAAAACATCTGGAATTGAAAGAAGTGACTCTACTTATCGTTCTGCCAATACTTGTAATAACAATATCAATGAATGTGTTAGAAATATGAAAAGAGTGCAATTAAAAATGTGTCAGTCATTTGATGTCCAGTGCGTGTGTCAACATAGAACACTAACATTAAGAATTCCAGCAACACATTTTGAACACAATTATAAATGAGTTAATGCATTCAAATGGCTTGAAAATTGGCATATGTATAGGAAATCAATGCTCTTTCAGTTGCTGCTTTAAATATGGCAGACATCATAAGTAGGCAAGATATGAACTTCTGTTGTTGGTTTAATTCTATCCTTACAAGTTGGATCGATTAAAAAAGATTCAGCAATTATAGTCTCATAATTTGAATCTTTGTGGCCCAATCCTTGTACTGCTTCACCTCATCTTTTCTTTTTTATAATGTTCACACAGAAAAATAGAAGAAAAGGTATGACAACATTTTACCAAGAATGCACAAGAAATGCTATATAAAACTTTTGTTCAAATGCATTTCCAACACATTTTTGTAAATTACTAAAAATTCAATAAACTTTTTTTATTTTGGGAAACAATTCCTCTTAAATTTTGCCAATTGGTTGAATTTATGACTATATTTGATCGAATTTATGAAATTACACAAACTCATAGAAACCACTGTTTGTGTTTCATTCATTGATTTCTCAAGAAGATAATCTAGTTTTTAATCATGATAATTATTATGATAATCTAACATTTTTTGATGTGTGTAAATAGCAATGTCTATTTTTGGATGATTAATTATAAAAAATGATTAAAAAAATTGAATTGCCAAAAAAGCCATAGATTTTTACATGACTTACCATAACATGTAAGTCTTATACATTCCCCTGTAGAAAGCATTTCACCACAAAGGGTGCAAATAGGGTTATAGTCACTGTCTTGCAACCAGTGTAGGTAGGACTTCACAATGCACTGTTCATAAAAAATGTAGTACATCAACATTTATTTCACTACATAATCAATATTAAATAGTCTCAGAGTCCCCTGTGAATATTACTAAATCAAGTTGTAAAATTTAAGCTATCTTGAGAAACAACAGTTACTATCAAGAAACTTTCTTTGATTAGGGAAAATGTCAGGATAACAGGCTTCAAGCTCTGTGATTTATATTGTTATCATAACAGATCTCTGGTGTGTTTGTCCAGCACACTATTGGTCACAGGTATAAATTCTACTTCATATAAAGTTGCAAAGATCTACAAAGTCTTAAAGCTATTACAATTTGGAAAATCAAATATAGGCCTGGCGGTTTGAGGTGAGTGATAGCTCAGGCTCACCTCCACGCTCCCCTTGCAACCTGAGACGAGCTATGAATTGCTCTCCTAAACAGAACATGTAGGGAGAATCGCTCCCCTAATTGGGTTATTTTTGTAACAGCGACTTCTCCCGTCATTGCATTCTTTGCAATTAACTTTTTGCTTGTTGGGTGGTTTTTGTTATGATAGGCATAAACAAACAATTGCCTGTGTACTTATTTTTTCAAGGATGGTGCCCCTCCCCAACAACTGGCTCATTCCTAATAATGTTGGCTTGAGGTTTAAAGTGGGAGAGCCATAAAGTAAAAAATGTTTCACTATCAACAATATATTTTCATGAAAAGTTCGGGGGTCGTGGTCCACAGAACCAAAGCATCATTGTTTATTTGTAACTGGGGAATGACCACATTCCAGTTTGATTTTTTACTACACTGCCACTATTTGAAACAACAAGCTAAATTTAATAGTTGATATATTGTTGGGAATACACAGAGTTGCCAGAATATCTCAAAAACTAAATAAATCATACATACTGACAGAGACTCTGCCAGATTTACTCCAGCCAATATCTTGAAAATACAAACTAACTTTGATTTCAGGTGGCATTTTTTTGTTACAAGTGACTGGCCTATTTTACCAACAAATGTAAAAAACTTCAAGGAACTACTTTAACTGCCAAAGAGTGACTTGTCGATGACACTTATTCTATCGTAGTAGGTGTCATGACATTATCATTATTTTGGGCCTAAAATCAAAAGAACCTACCGTAGGGTGGCCAGAAGTAAGGCAGAATTCACAGACATTCACTCTATGCTCGAAACAAAACTGGTTTGTAACCTTTCGCTTTGGGCACTTGCAGAGACCCATCGTGTTTAAAATAATCTGGAACTTTTGATACTTCTATTTTAACCCCAACAACGATAACTGTTCTTGGCTGCCACGTCTCCTTCGTACAGCAAGTAGTCTCCTGGCCTCGTTCTCAATTTCACATGGAAATCATTTTCAACATTATAAACACACATTTAACAATTTGTTATGCAACAGCTGTGATTAAACGAAGAAGGGTTCCAACTCTCAACTCCTACCCACAATGAAAGCCTGGGCAGTTATTACAGGAGCTGGCACAGGTATTGGATCAGCATTAACAAAAGAATTGTCATCGCTTGATGTTAATGTACTTGCTATTGGACGCAGATACGAACAATTAGAGTGCACCAGGAATTCATCTTCTAGACCACATAATATCAAAGTTTTACCAGTTGATATAGCTTCAGATGAATGTTGCCATCAGATACTTGATGCCATACCCAAAGATGATGATATAAAATACCTGGTACAAAATGCTGCAGTAGGAGTACCAGCAAAGCTTCTTGAAATTGTAGAAGAAGATTTTGAGTATGCAATGAAAGTTAATGTCACAGCCCCTTTATCACTAACGAAGGGTCTTTTCGAAAGACTGAATAATGCTAACGGACGAATTATTCATCTAGGGACTGGAGTAGCATTCAGGCCTCAGCTTGGAACGACAACCTATGGAGTAACCAAGATGGCCTTCTATCGCTTGTATAAGCAACTCCAAGTGGAACTCCAGGATACAAATGTCAAAATTGCAAATATTCATCCAGGAGTTGTAGATACAGAAGGCTTATGTGAGCATATAAAACATGCCACAACAAAAGGCCTTCCACATGTGGAGTACTTTAAAAAAGTTCAACAAGAGGGAAAAATCCTTTCTTCTTTAGATGTTGCAAAATTTATTAGATTTGTGCTCTTAGAGACATCTGATAATGAATTTTCAAAGGACTGGAGTGTCAATGATGAGTCTTTTTGGCCAAACTGGAAGAAATCTGGCTAAAAGAATAGCATGCACAATTAAACCAATCTTCCTTATAGTTCTATTTGGTTATTATTTAGTCCTTATAGCTATGTGAAAATGCTTGAAATAAATCTAGAATATAGTAGAACTACCAGAATAACATGTTCTTAAATAAACAAATCTTCATAGATTTCAGTAAATACAAAGTAGAAGTGAAATTTCATCCTTGATACTGTTTGTATTTTTGCAAAATAAGTCACATATCCAGTAACTGACTTAAATTTTTCTCTATTATGGCTTTAAATATAAATATTATGCATTATGTGTGAAGAACAACAATGAGCCCAAAGAAAGCTTGCAAGGTAACCTAGATAACTTAAATATATTTTCAATGCTGAACATTAAATGATATGTAATGTCTGCCACAGGTCAGTAAACTGATACCATGTAATGCAATGTTGCACGACAAACCTTGGGATATTCACAAGGAGAGAATCAAATTACAGGCTTGTTGTGTGACATCTAGTACATAATTTAATTCATGCTAAATGTAAATACAAAACGTAATATAAATAACCAAGGATTCTATATATTCCTTTCCAATTTCCTGGGCCTCATTTCCAAGGTCCAGAATTAAAAATGGTAGCATAAGCACAATTTTCACTTTGGGTCCGTGGTTTTAGGGTTATTAAAGGGTTATTTAATAGGTTAAAGCCTTCCATGGAGCTTAAAAAAAGTCTTGGTAAATTGTTAGGGGAAAAGTGGCTGAAAGAGCTTTTTAAAACTTTCATAAAAATCAAAGAAAATTCCATTATGCCAAGAGGAGCTAACTTGACCACGTTATATCATCAAAAACTATCTATCAGTTCACTTAAAGAATTAGTTCTAATAAGGAGACAAATAAGCAAAATTCTTTAAGAAAGCAACTATTTTTACCAGACAAAACTTAACATGTACAAAATATATTAGAAATGACTTCAGGATTTCATGATTTTACACGAATGTTTCTACATGGATGAGTGGGTTTGGTTTAGTTTGACATTCAAGTTGTCTAATATCTGTAGACATATTCCATCTGCGTGCTTTTGCACATGGCCATGCAAAGTCCCTGTCTGATAACATTTGACAATTTTACCACTACAAATTTATAAATGTGTGTGACTTCAGGCGAGCGGTGGCAAATTTTCAAAATGCACCTGTTCATGCAAGAAAGATAGTTTCCAGTCTGACCTTTTGTTAAGCAAAAATTTACTTATTAGGAGGTTAAGGATTATAAATAGATGTATAGTAAATTGAGCACCCAGGTTTAAAAATCTTGTTTAATTGATTAAAGAAACTGTCTGTTTTGATTTGTCGTTTCTGCTTTGTCATTCTCCCCATTATTGGTTGCTTGGCTTCATTCACCACATCTCCTCAAAGTTGTGTCTCTTGACCTTTCATTTCGCGAATATTTTCATGGAAGAATCTACGTAGGACGGCATGAAGATATATGCAGTATACAAGGACATAATTAAGATACACAACAGCATCATATTGAAAAAGTTTCGTTCCCAAGGCTCCAACATGTATAGGCCTGAATTAACTTTATATTGGTACCACTTTAGGCCTATCCATTCATTCAAACTCTTTCTTTTCTTCGAAGGCATACTCACGTCTATTTGATGTCTTCGTATAACGACTTTTGAGAAAAATGTGAAAGATACACTCATTGAACATAAGCGATGATTTGGTATGCACCACACCCTTTCGCCATTCAATCGTTTCGATCGTGTAAATGTCGAGTCTCGTTTTTAGTTGGCCTCTTCTTGCAGCAAGTTGGGAAACGAGAGAGGCAAGCCAAGCAAAGAAATAGGCAAGCCATTGTGAATTTAAGTCAGTGGAATACTGTGTAGTGTGACATGGAGGGTTGCCCAGGTACGTTAAAGGTGTTGTTAAAGGGTGTGGAATTTTACAAAGTAAATTTAACTCGTATGCATGTGAAATGCATAGAAAAATAATGATTATATAGGCTAAATACAGTAGGTCTGATTTTTAGGCCTGCTACAGCAGATGACCTTTTTTTTGCCAACAAGATAAATTGAATCTGTAAAAGCAGATTTTTGTTCGTTTCTACGGATTTTTGTTTAGTCAATATTTTTGAAAAAAATTCGCCTTTGTCTATCACAGTTTAGATCTTTGAAATACAGAATACTGGTGTAGACAGAGAGAGGGTAAACATGATTGGTCACAATCCGGGGTGCGGGTCGGGTGTATTCCATGTAGCAAATCCGGAAGGTCTTCGGGGTGGAGTTACGTTATTTGGCGGGGCGTTGGCGTGAGATAAGCATCTGTTGGCGTTTAGAGTAAACAGTTATTTTGGTAAAATGGTGCAGTTTTTTAGCACAAAGCTTTTTCTTTGACTGTTTATGTATTGTATATAGACCCTACTACTGTGGAGCTGCATCACTGCCAATGTATTAATAAATTGCCTTAGAACTTTGGGGTGGTGGGGTCAGTGTAGTGATTGCATGTGAACCTTGGTGTACACCCAGTGGCGGCTTTAAGAGGGGGCAACTAGGGGCAGTTGCCCCTCCCTCGACGAGTTGAAGCAAGTATGGCACCCTTTTTTGGAAATTGTGCGCCCCTTTTGAAGAATGAGAATCATTTGAAAAAGTTTCTGAGACCAATAGGTTAATTTTTTTCAAGGATTACTTCAAAGTTATCTTGTTAATTCCGAAAATGGATCTGAAATTGTTGTATACAGCGTTCTCTTGTCTTCAATTTTTGAAAATTTTTCAGTGCCCCCACTACCAACTGCCCCTCCTTCAAGTTTGTTCTGGATCCGCCCCTGTGTACACCACACCTTTACACGGCTTACTTTGGAGTGAGGTTTACATGGGATACACCATGGGCCACAATTTCTGGTGTTCATGATTTCTAATGATTTTTTGTTGGTTATAACCATGTTATCAGCATTTAAAAAAATCAAGAGGTTTCTTGTCAATATGTATTAATGTAATTGCTTGGCTGATCATGTAAGCAGACTAAAAATTTGGTTTGGCTTTTTACCTTAGAATGGTGATATATCAAGTATACATGAGAGCAAATATGCGACTGCCACTATACTTCATGTCATGCCTTCTTGTCACCATGTGCATGAAGATGAATTTGACATCTGGGGAAGACATAATCTCAACTCATACTGGGAAAATTGGTCCAGGAAATTATACATACTTTGTATTGCATGAAAAAGGAACAATTACACTTATTCTTGAAAGCTTAGTTGGTGATGCAGACATCTATGTTTCAAAAGATGTAGAAAGACCATCTTATCTGGAATATGATTTGCAGTCAACCACTTGTGGTCTTGATATAGTGACAGTTCCAAAGTTGTACAAAAGGCCAGTTTATATAGCTGTCTTTGGTCACGTTTATGCTGGAATAACAAAATACAAATTATCAGCAATTATGAACTTTGAAGGGTCATATGAGTCAAGCCATGTTGAAGCTTCTGAAACTGATTTCACCAGCACTTTTAATGATGATGATGATGAAGAAACACAGTCTTTCAAATCAGTACTTTGGACAGTTTTGGTTGGAATCCTCAAAATAATTCTTGAGATAATTTTCTAGCAGTTTTTATCAGAAAGACAGTATAAATGTAAATTTGGTAGAAAAATTTGTTAAAGACAAGCTTTGCAAATGGTGAAACAAACTTAATATCATACATTTAATAAAGAAGGCATATACACATTAGATAACTCCAAAAGCATGCAATACATTTGTGGTTTCATTGATCATATGAAATTATAATACATCTGATAGATCTAAAAAACAGTTAGAAATTGCTAAATGAGCTGTTTTGTTTTGGATAGAATCTCTGAAATTTTCCCCCAAATTAGCAGTTAATGTTACCAATCATTATTGTTCTACAGTTAATATCTGATGAAAGGCTTGGGCATTATATCTTCACAAGGTTTTTGCTCCAATTCATTTTCATGGTTTAGAGGATGATTTTAATTCATATGGTCTCAGTACCATATAGAGTTTTATACAGTCCATATTTAAGTTTTTATATGGCAACTTAGAACCGTCGAAACCAAATCATAATTTTTTACAACATGCACTTGAGAAATTTTTACAGATCCTCGATTTGTATGGCTGTTGATGAGAGATGGAGATATTCTACCACATCTATATGTTTTATCTTTTTTAAAGTGCTTCAATAATTAAATGCATACACTGGGTGGGATGGGTTAAGCTGTAATACATACTTTATGAATACCTGGTAAATCTGAAAAGCTTTTCTTGACTTTTGCAAATCATAGAAAGAGTTTTTAAAAAGACCTTTCACTGTAAAGTTATAATATTAGGTAATGTTTAGGTAATGAAAAGACTTTAAGTGACATCAAATTTTATTGTTATTGGTTTCTCTCATATCTGTGCAAACAAACAATCAGTCTTGAGCGAGAAGAGTAATTAAAAACCAGTTCTTTGTTTATACGATTTTTTTGCTTGCTATAGCACAGCCATTCTCAACCTCCAACCTGCAGGCCAACTTTAACATGATAAAGATAAAGAAAATGGTGGAAGATTTGTGCCAACGTAAGAGATCTTTAAGACAAACTTTGTTGTATTCATAAAACAGGTTTGAATGGTGTTAGTTGCTCTTGCAGCCACAAAATCTGTGTTAAACTTTATCAAATGCTTAATAACTCATAATATACCTCTCTTGTCATCAAATTAGCAAATATAATTGGCTATTAAAGGTTTCCGCGTTTTCAATTTTCACCTTCGTTCAAAATCGAAACCACAGAAAAGGCGGAAATCAGTCCTAGCGGATTTCCCAAAGGGTTTTCCTACGAAATCTTGTCTGTGCTTGATAAGAAAACAAATCGGGGACATTTCATCATTACCTTACTGGTCTAGCCGGTGAAAATGGTGGAAGATTTGTGCCAACGTTAGAGAGATGTTTTGGACAAACTGTGTTGTATTCATAAAACAGGTTTGAATGGCGTTAGTCGCTCTTGCAGCCACCAACTCTGTGTTAAACTCATTATATACCTCTCTTGTCATCAATTAGCAAATATAATTGGTTATTCAAGGTTTCTGCGTTTTCCGCATTTTCACCCTCGTTCAAAATCGAAAATGCGAAAAAAGCAGGATTCTCATTCCCGTAAAAATAAGGTCTTATATCTCAATTCTTGAGAGAGCTATGTTGCTTTGTTTATGTATTTCCATTCCAGAAGCTTAAAGCAAAATTTCACTTTTCTGTGTGTTCCGCGTGTTCTGCGTTTTCCACGTTTTTGACCTGGCCACAGAAAATTCATGGATTTTATGTTAATTCTAGATAGACTGTTGGTTTGCAAAAGAAGCATTTTTTTAAATCTTACTGTTCACTACAATAAAATTAAGGGCAATGTGAGGTTCTTTCCTGCCAGATAGAAGAAGTTATTGACAGCAAGGATAGTTGCTGATAAAGCCAGTCGCTTGTTTCATCTATCAAATATGAGTCATTTTATTTATATCAAAAAATATTTAAATTTGCCAATTGTCTGTGATATAACTTTTGTGAAGGTGGTATATAATAGGACCAACCCATGCTAAGACGCTGGGAAATTCAGGAATTAAGCAGAAGTTAATAAACTTTATAAAAGTCTTTAATAGTTCAAAGTTAATCATCATCTGGAAACCAAATTTGATACAATATTTTACATTTTACCTGACCAAAATGGCGATGCTATTGCAGGACTACCCCTTTGCTTAAACTAGAGGCAGCATTCACAAACAAGTTAAACTACTGAAATTTATAGTGTAAACATAATATGAGTATCAATTTGTAGATTTGTATTAAAGTTCAATATGAAGTCCTGTCAAATGTTTCATTGCATTTGATATCATGTCAACAGTATTATCCAGGCCCATAGTTGTGGTGCTCCTTAGCATAGCAAAGTTCAAAAGGTCCTCATAGCTCAGGAAGCTAGCTATCTGAAGAGCATTCTCAATTTTGACAAACTTCTTTTTAAAATCAAATTCTTTTGGCACCTGAGGAAGTAATACTTTCTTTGTTATTTCATCCAGTACAGGAAGAAACACCTGTACAAACATGGCAATAGGTGATGGCAATGGTGCATACCTTAAATAATTCTTGTGGTACTTTGCCATACAGTTTCTGGCATACGTTAAGTCAAAAAGGAACCTTATGATATTTTCCTTTGATTTTTCACTGAAGAATCTTGAAATATGTTTCATGAATTCATCTGTCCATTGTAATGAATCTTGCACTTTTTGATGTGTGACCTCATTAAGTGCTTTCTTGAAGAGCAATGCAGATTTTGTGGAAAACTGGTCAAGCTTGTTTGCATTTTCATCTTCCTGCTCAATGCCTTGCTTCTTAGCATAGAACTCTTTAATATCTTCAATTGTTTGGCCACTTGCTGCTATTGGGTCTGCTATAATTTTTTCAAGCTCATCCAACATCTCTTGTACATCTTGCTTCTTCAAATGCTTAAACAAGTTGTTTTCAGGTATGAAATAATGTTTCAGTTCCATCTTCGACAATGAAGCCTTTAGAGACTGCAGCAGCAACAAGCAGCAATGTGCCCTATTTTCAGGTTTCCACAAGTTTGCATCTGTTTCTTCTAAAAGCCAATAAAAGACTGTCTTTAGGTGATAGGTTGTTATAATTTTTGGCTCACGCCTAAGTTTCTCGTAGAAATACATTTTGTAAACTCTGTAGCACTCTCTTTGAAACACGGTCAAGGTCTCTGCAAGCAATGTTTCAGCCATATTGAAAGATAAGCGAAACATTGTTGATGGGTCACTATTCTCACTTTTTGAGGGCTTTGGAACCAGATGAAATCCTGCTTTAAGAATTTTGGAAGTAACTTCTTGTGGTGGCCAAGATTGTTCTTTAACACGGAGGGCCCAATTGTTAGCAATTGACGGAAATCCTTCACATGATATAGCTGGAACCAGGTCAAAAGACCCTTTCATTTCTTGATGCATGGAAAACAGGTGATCATCTTCACTTATCACATCTTCTGATACAATCATCTGAAAATATTTAGATATTTCTATGAAAATGTTTTCTTCTTTTGCATCATTAAATATTTTAGGTAATCTTTCATTCTCGCGGTAATATCCTAAAGCAGCAGGGATTAAACCATTGTCAAATTCAGGGCCAAGCTGCAAAAGAGTTTCATAGCCATTTTTTGCTCTTAATGTGCCAAAATTAGAGGATGTCTTTGCAATATGCATAAAGACATCAATAACTTTTTCTGCATGCCTCTTTGACCTCTCATCCAAAATAGGTATTATATGTTTCTTGTAGCTGTTGCTTAGCACATAAAAGTATTGAATATCCTTGTCGATAAGGTCAGCTTTCAAAGGATCAAGCTTAAAATCTGTTGAAGATTTCCATGACAAAACACTTGCTACCTTATCTCTAGCTGCCCTTTTAAACTCATGGTCAAATGATTCCACAACAGAAAGAGGTAGTTGAAGAGTTTTATGAAACCAAATTGATTCAAAACTTCTAAGGCTATCTGCATTCAGGTACTTAGCACCTTCTCTATTCACAAAAGGATACATCCTCATTTTAAGTTGCTTGATTCGGTAAAAACCAGGCTCTTCACATGGCAACAAGGCATCTTGTTGGAACTCTTTTGTCATCTTTGGGAAAGAAGACAGTAACAAAATGTCTGCATCTCCCTGGTTGCTTTCTGAAACACATTTAAGCATCTGAGATGCACTGCCAGTGACTTTGAAGTGGCTAGTGCTAGCTGAGCCAACTACTTTTGAAATAAACAACTCCACCAGTTTTGGGTAGTAGACATCATCTTCTGTTTGAACATAAGACACACCATGCTCACCTCTGACCATATTTTCAAAATGACTGCCCAGTTTCATGACTTTGTCAACAGAGAGCTGTGACTTGATATCTTCCAGTAACATATTTGACTGGTTTTGATCTGTTGAATAAAGATGGGAATATATCAATCACATGATATTGAATTATGGTTGAAGATAAACACAATTCCAAACATCTACAACACTCTTTGATCTCTTTGAATTCAGCTTGTTCTCAGTGTAGTGTTTTGATACATTGATAGGCAAAGAAAGGCACTGCATATTGGTTTGAAACCGTCTTTACAGCAGTCAATTTAATTGCTATACAAGCCACCAAAATTGGAACTTGAAAATAGCTACAAGAGGGAAAAGCCATTAGTATTGCCAGGAATAAATCAACAAAACCCTTGGATATGTACATTGATTGTTCTATTTACTTTTCTATTGCGTTGCAAAAGCATAAATTGCAACAAAATAATTACACCTATCTGTCACTAATTATGTATGAACAATCAAAGATGGGTAGGACAAGAAAGATGAAGTCTTATAGAATTACAGAGACAAAAAATTCCTGCCTTTTTCTCACGGATCAGTAATTGAAAAATTTGATTGGTTAAAAAAATCTTATGATGTAGTTAGGATTACAATTCATGTTTCTTAAAAGGATTAAAATTAAAGAGCTATTAGTAGTAAAGACCAAATTCCTAAGGAAATTTTTCAATTTTGAATATTTTTTTGACGGCAGACAATCTAGAATTAGGAAGCCAGTTACATTCATTTGAAGTTAAACATCCAAATAAATTGTGTGTTATGAGTTCATGTGTGTCTCATTGTGTGAGCTGTGATTTCTGGCTTGTGGAGTTGTGATTTCTGGCTTTTGGAGCTGTGATTTCTGGCTTTGCTGTCTATTGCCCCTCAGTCACTTCAGTAAAAGCAAAGGGCTTTGAGGGAATGCTTCCAATACATTTTCACAGCAAGATTGTTCAATGAAACACTTCATAAGCAAATTTCACCAGCTTCCAAATTGCACAAGTGTCAGTCATTTCCTGTGTACTGTTGTTGAGGAGTTGGAAATTCAACATTGTTCAATTTTGGTTTTTCAAAAAGGTACCTCATCGAAATGATTTACATAAAGTTGCAAGTCACTCGTTTGTTGAGGATGATAAAGTTAGCTTTTGAAATTGTGAAATATGCAATAAGTGCTTCAAAATTAAAGCTGGTATCACTATTCATGTAACATGGTGCACTTTACGAAGCAACAGAAGAAAAATGAAATGAAATCCCAACAAATTTTGAAAAAAGCATACAAAATATACAAATATGAAAGTTTATATTACATCAAACAAGAAGATATAAATGAAATAGGTATTGACCTTCTTGATTGAATTGAAACTTTTTCATATATAAATAATAATGCTAGTCTTTTCTTTGTTTTCACCTTGTTTTCTAGCTACAGTTGAAGATCTAGCAACACATACACAGAATTGAAATGTGTTTTGTGCAATTTTATGGTACCAAATGTGCAAGCCTCGAAATAAGGACCTTTTAGCACTTTATCTTGATCAAAAGAGGTCAAAAAAGTAAGGAACTTCAAGATCTAGTGGTAACAAGAGGTAAAGAGCGGTGAAACAATTAGCAAGACTTGCAGAGGGCATCCCCCATTCTGTGAGCTGCTGTTGGAAATGAGAGGAAAGCACACACTAGTCAATCAAATGTTCCAAAAATGTAGCTTTGTTAGTTCTAGGTAGTTGATGGTCACAAGATGCAATATGAGTGGAGTTGGAAATTACAGAAAAGCACATACCAGTCAGTCAACTGTTTTAGACAAGATGCAATATGAGTAGGGAGAAGACACTCAAATCATCAACGGCTACATGAAAGCAAAATACATTTCAAATTTATCTCTCCATAAGAGAATGGTTTATAGTAATCTTGACTCTATTTTCAGCTATAATTTTAGTCAGTCCCTCTTGATGGAATCAGTCAGGAGTCTAAATCCTTTGGACTAACTAAGTTATTTATAGAATGATAAAGGGGTTGAACACTCTCTGCAAAATTTGCCTATGTTTTCTGAGGAGATGACCCTGAGGAAAAATCCTGTCTACATGCTGGTTAATCCTTGAAGCTTGTAGCTATTATAGCATATTCCTAGATAGTAAAAGCCTTATTTTAGCTATTCCCTGTGGTTAAAACATTAATAAGAAACATACCTTTTTTAGCAGCCATAGCTCCAGACAGAATTGCTATCAGTGCAGAAAACAGCACCTGCCAGTGCCTAAGAACTTTTTTCATCTAAAGAGACAAAAGGAGATCAATTCACACCACAAGTCAAATAATTTCCTTGAGATCAGTTTTCAAAACGTGCTTTAACATATTTCTCTGTACTGATGTATTGACAGAATTCTTATTCCTTGATGAACAAAAATCATACCAGCGAAGAAAACTAAATCTAGCAATCAAAGATTTATATTTCTTCTCTCCAATTGTAGGTTAAATCGTATACAAACATAATGATAGCAAAAAGGCACCATGAGGTTGTGTAATTATACTTTCATAACGAATAAGGTTCATAAGAGAACTAAACGAAGAGTAAATCATTTTTGGAAATCGATTGAAATACATTATTTTTTTAAAAAATACTGCTTATAACTAAATGTTGGCCCAGAATCGTCCAATTTTCAAGATTTTTATAAGAATATTGCTCAGCCTCAGCTCGCATATTTGTCTCATTTTCTAGTTGTTGCCAGTTTTGCGATGTTCATAAATAGGAATCGCAGAACTAGCAAATCTAGTTTTTCCAAAAGCGTGGTTTTTATTCAAGACCAGGCAATGTTTCCCTGAAACCGTATCAGGTTTGGAAAAATAAGAATACTCTAAGAACAAATTCAAGGCTGAAAAAAATTATAGTATTCTTATAAAAAAGAGTTGAACGTGATTGCTTTGGAATCTGAACTTCGAGCCTAAAAATCAAACGGGTTAGTTTTCAAAAAGAAACAAAAATGTTAACCGTTTACTGTGGTAATTGGAATAGCAGTTAACAAAACAGCATAATAAATTTTTTTAAAAAGGTAAGTATTAGCTCACGCAGTAGTTGTCCCGAGGTTCTTGGAGGCTTACTTACGGTTTTAAACTGATAGTCTTCGTTGCTGGCGTTGCATTATATGTATAATCTTTCTGCCGAATTATTTCCTGGTTTCCGGGAAATCGCTCTTTCTTGTTTCAGAGAAGGAACGGGATGCCTAGCGGTGACTCAACATAATGATCGCTGGTTGAAAGGAGCGCGCTGGGTAGTCCCCTTCTTCTATCACGTGGTCTATCTCAGAGGCAGTAGGGGCATGACTATCTCAATTCCCCATGACTAGCTCAAAACGCATCATCTATCATCTATCATGCAGGCACACAGGGGCTCAGAAGTTGACTCACTTCTAACTCCCGATAAGCTAAATTTTGTTTGATGATTTTGCCTTAGTTTGTAACACTGCATGAAGGTTTTTGAGAAAGATTTAAAAAAGATGAGCATTTCATTGGGGGAGGGATGTAAGATAAAAATCTGTCAACAAGATGGGTGGGGCAATGTGGGTGGTACCCTTAAAACTAAATTATGGGCTAAGGACAGATTTGCCAAGAGTTGATTGTTCCAGAGGGGATTTGTGAGACGCTTCTGACTTACGGTTTTAAACTGATAGTCTTCGTTGCTGGCGTTGCATTATATGTATAATCTTTTTGCCGAATTATTTCCTGGCTTCCGGGAAATCGCTCTTTCTTGTTTCAGAGAAGGAACGGGATGCCTAGCGGTGACTCAACATAATGATCGCTGGTTGAAAGGAGCGCGCTGGGTAGTCCCCTTCTTCTATCGCGTGGTCTATCTCAGAGGCAGTAGGGGCATGACTATCTCAATTCCCCATGACTAGCTCAAAACCTTCATGCATCATCTATCATGCAGGCACACAGGGGCTCAGAAGTTGACTCACTTCTAACTCCCGATAAGCTAAATTTTGTTTGATGATTTTGCCTTAGTTTGTAACACTGCATGAAGGTTTTTGAGAAAGATTTAAAAAAGATGAGCATTTCATTGGGGGAGGGATGTAAGATAAAAATCTGTCAACCAGATGGGTGGGGCTAAGGACAGATTTGCCAAGAGTTTATTGTTCCAGAGGAGATTTGTGAGATACTTCTGACTTCCCAATCCCCATAACTTGACAAAAAGTCATATCAATGACAGTTAACTAAGAGTGAAAGCTTTTTGCTACATATGGTTTATATCTAAGCATGTGCTACCTTGAAGCTTTATGACAGAGTTGATTCACAGCCCCACTTTTAACATTTGTCTCTGGTTGCAGGCTTTTAGTCATGCCTTTGTTGTGCAACTTGCTCACATTTTCTCTAAGTATATTTTCAAAAATCCAGTTATACTTTCACTAATTATGCATTTTCTTGGGTGGTGAATCTAAATATCATAGGATTGGTAAAACTCGTGTTACATAGAAATTACAATGAATGTTTTGATTGTCCTACTGTGTTACTTATATGAAAATGCTGCAATAAAGTTTAGATAGGAACCTATATTATTGCTGTAGATTGATAAAAGACAACAAATCCTTACATGAGCTGGTTCTACAGTAATTTAGTAAACTGATCATAAAAACAAACAACTTTGCTGCTTGGCACAAATGCTTTTTCTTCAAGAAGAGCCAAACTTTGGAATGGCTTCCAAGTTGGGTCAAATCAGGCATCAATTCTTAATGTTCTCAAAGCTTCCATTTAGAGAAAAAGTCTAGTTTAAATTTTATAGGATGTTATCATATTTATGTTGGTCTTATGTATGGGTAGCATTACATGCTTAGATTATTCAACAGGATGACTCTAAGTTGCAACTCTTGAGTTATACCTTTGCTCAATGTGATCATCACACACCACAGTATGTATATAGTTATGTATAATAAAAATACATTTGTTACAACTGAATTCAGTTTCACTGTACTTTTTCAATGATTTGTATTTTTAATGCAGAGTCCCATTAAATGAAAAAGAGAATAAGCACATTAGGTTCTTATACCATCAATATGTTTTCAATAATACAAGACAAATAAGACTATTTCACAAACACATACTGTCAACCAGGGACTGCAAAAGCAGGGGGCAGATTGGGGTAAGGGTTTAAAAACAAACACTGAAGCATCTTCGTCTTGGTTTTTAACTAATATTCTAGCAACACTCCCCCCCCCCTCCCCGTTTGTATGTCTGCTATGATCCCTGTTGCCATACTTTTTTTCACAGATAAACAATCTTTTATTTGTAAAATTTGCTTTCTTTCTTACTCCAATTTAGTTTTATCAATGTACTGAAGACTAAGTGCACTCTGAATAACGATTTTTTCACAGACGGCCGTAGCCAGTGACCATAAAGGTGCATAATCAAGAGTTATTAAACCAGCTACGTTATACTTTGTGTAGTCAGAATAATTCCATGGGCAAGCGTTGAACTGCCGAAGTATAACTCCGGTTGAGAACTCCCATGCGTACGTCCAACATACGTAAACAAGAATTCGAAGTGCCAAGGGCCAGTCACGCAAGTGGAGAAACATATTCTCCATCATATAGATTGAGATACCATACATTGGAAATGACCAGAGTGACGTATATCCGTGTAGTGTCCAAGCACTCTCATATTTTGGATCAACCATGAACCAAACAGCTGTGAACACAACTTCTGTGAAAAATCCAACTAGGCCATAAAATATAAGTTTGGACATAACAGGTAGGCCTTGATTCTCTATCGTTTTAGGCCTCATAAGTGTTACCTTTAAGCGCATTTTATCGAGAAGGCGCATTGTAAGCAGCAATATATAATACTTTTAACATAAATTTAAAATTTACAATTCAAGAAGCTGCTATTTTTTCGGACATCAATCGTTGATCGTTGTATGTTCATTTTGCATACGCATGCGTGTTCCATGCTTAGAAAATTATCAGAACTTCGCTGTATCAAAAACTACGGTGGCCCACAGGTGCCACGGCAAAACTTTCTCTCTCACGGCAAAACTTACTTTCTTACGGCAAAACTTACTTTCTCACGGCAAAACTTACTTTCTCACGGCAAAATTTTCTTTTTTCACGGCAAAACTTTATTTCTCACGGCAAAACTTTATTTCTCACGGCAAAACTTTACTTCTCACGGCAAAACTTTCTTTGAATTTAATTTATTACTTAAATTAAATTTATTTTGAAAATTTTATCTCGTGACATTGGATTCTCGTCGTCGTATTGCTTTGTTCCTTTTGCTTTTCTAACATAGGCGTAGTAGACAAGGGTCTGGGGAGATAAGGGGGCTGTAGCGGCAACTGTAGTTCCTCAACACTGAAAAGTTTCCAAAAAAGCGATAATCAGGCAGAAATCTACCATGATTCAGTCAGGCAAAATTTTCATAAACAATGGATGTTGTTTGTTGGGCAACCACTTCGATTTTTTTCTCCCCTTATATTATGCCCATGCTTATTATTTCATTAAGTACCTAGCCATCAACCCACCCTGTGAGTAACAGGGGCGGATCTAGACGTTCGCACCGTTCGCACATGCGACAGTCAAATTTTAAAAATTATACTAAAAGTCCTTTTCCTCAACAACAACTTTCTCGCTTATTAAAGAATTTCCCATTTGTGTTTTAATTAAATTTGTTCAGGAATTATGCTTCAGTTATATTTGACAACTGAACACCGTGCAGGAGCAGGAAGATCCAAGGTCTGAATCATGTATGATTCAAACCTTGCCATAAACACAAGCAAAATCTTAAACAAAATCTCGAATTCTATCTCGATCTTGATTCAATCTGATTCAAATCTCAAAGCATCCTGATTAAAAAACAACAGGGTACCAATGTAGTCAGATTAGGGTATTTCGGTGCACAGTATGATTAGTAGCACGTTCGCACCGATTCGCACAGCTTTTGTTTTAAAATATTTAGCCAACCAAATTGCTAGATAGTGCGAACTTCGGTGCACAGTATGTTTTTTAGTAAGGTCGCACCACTGGGCAAAGATTAATCCGTCGACATTGTGTGCTTTGTACAGTTTTGAGCTGATTTATTCCTGGCATGGGGAAGTTTTTCACTGGCGAAAAGGAATTTTGTGTTATGGAGTCGACTGGCTACATGTATAATGAGTACGTTAAACCTGATAATTTGGAAGACAAAGGTCGCTAGATTTTCAGAGTAACATTCGACACGGGATGTTTTCAAGTATCGACATTCATTACCACCTCCATGGATCAAGGGCCTACAAATGTCAATAAATGCCCTGGACTGGGGTGATACCCGCGATTTGGCTCTGGCGAATAAATAATATTCAGGACGTTGGCAGCGTAAAATTTTTATTTGGACAAAACTTTCAAAGTGAATCTTTTCAATGTGGATTTTCAGTTCCTTATCAGCCTTCAGATATTTCCGGGTAATGTTTACCTGCTTGGGTATTCCCCTGAATTCAAAGGGGTTTCTTCGGAGTAAATTACATGTTTACAAGCTGATTTGGTTTAGCTATTAAATAATATTAGTTATTAATGCAGGTTTTCATGAATATTTGTGTAAATTTGTTCTTTTTGAATAGTTCTGAAAATTCATTGCAATAATGTTTTTCATTTTTTTGTGTGACCTCGTTTGTCATCGTATACCATAAAAACAAATCAAGAGAGACAACTCGAATTTTTGCCTGATTATGAAAGGAAAACTGTGTCAATACGCTTAAGAATAGAGTCTCTTGATTTACGCTTGGCTAAGAAACAACACAAGATTGATTAGATTATAGGAGGGTGGATGAGTAATTGAGACATAGGAACATATGAAAAGCTAGGGGGCTTGCTCTATTGTGTAAAATTTGTTAATGATTCTGTAGGATCAATTGAAAACTCAGATAAGGAATAAACAACAGTTTGACCACGTTCTAATTGAAGCCAATTTAATGTGCACATCGACTGTTAAAATGAGAGGGGGTGAATATCCTTAAAAACTATGGGTGTGGTCACGAATGATTTTTTCGACCACACCCTTGTGTGCGACAGTCAGAATACTTTCTAGATCCGCCCCTGGTGAGTAATACGATATGATATGATATTAAACACAATACCCAATTTATAGGTTTTTTACAAGCCACAATCGAGCGTGCCAAGTGCACGTACGTGATTTTTTTGCACGAATTTTATGTGCACGCCAATTTTCAACGAATTGATCTTTTTCACTGCTTTCAAAACAAAGGAATCAAAGACCTTGCATGCGGTACTGTTTCGTTGAGATAGGCATATAGGCCTAGCCTAGCCCAACCTAGATATTTCTGGGCTGTCTTTCTGCAAGAATTATCAAGAGAAGATGTAGGTATTCGCAAATTCTGCGAAGTTTAAAACGTCTAAAGCATTGATTAGATCTAAGTATCACGTACACAACAACACGTAAAGAAAGTTTTGCCGTGAGAAAGAAAGTTTTGCCGTGAGAAAGAAAGTTTTGCCGTGAGAAAGTAAGTTTTGCCGTGAGAAAGTAAGTTTTGCCGTGAGAAAGAAAGTTTTGCCGCGAAAAAGAAAGTTTTGCCGTGAAAAAGAAAGTTTTGCCGTGAGAAAGTAAGTTTTGCCGTGGCACCTGTGGGCCACCGTAAAAAACTCGTTTTGACAACTTTTATCTTTTTCACTTTTTCAAGTACATTAAGCAATAGCGTAGTCAGGGTGGTAATGGTAAGGTTGGGGGGCAAAGGCGAGAAGAGCAATGTAAAATTGGGGTTCCTCACACTTTTGAACGCCAAAAAAGTGTCCCTTGTCAAAGAGACTTTTTGCTATTGCGTAAGGGAGCGTCCTTACGTTGAGCAAGGTAGGTGCTCCCCAAAGAAAACTTCAATCTATAAAAGCCTCAGCCTCTTCATTTCGAGCTACGAGTTCTGGTGTACTGCAGTTTGAAGGTTTTAAAAAATTTTGGGAGTCCGTAAAACCTTGAATGCTCGAATGGATGAGATGAGGCTTAATCGCACCTATTATTTGTGGCTACTCTGCTTTTCACAGTTAGTTTTTGGATTTATTTGGTGACGGTGAAATGGATAATAGAAAACAAAACTTCTCTTTAGTTACTTTTGTTTCTAATCTTCAGTGATAGTGAAGTTAGATTACAAATACCTTTGAAAAATTCAAACATTTTGAGTCATACTGAAGCTTCTTGTCTGACACTCTTCAGAGTATAAAACGCCGAACACAGACCGAAAACTTTACGCTAGAAAATATATATACCCAGTTGTGGATCAAAATAGGCCAGTCAGCATCAAAAGGTTTTCATCACAAGAATTCTTTGGTCAAGTATTAGTATTTGCTTCCAAAGAACAAGCTTTAAGGTGTAGAAAGGGGGATGCTGCAAGTCATTAGGCATGCGATAAAGGTTTTAACGTTTTGTATATCAAAAGCAAGATGCTTATGCGTTCTTGATTAAAGTGCAATATAAAATAGCTTGTTACAGGGTGTTTAGGAATAGTTATCCACTGTCATACGTAGAACAGATTTCACTTTTGTCTGATGGCCAAATGGAAACTACTATTAAAAAAAGACAACATTGGGAATATTACATACTTGATGGTCAAATTTAGACGGTCCTTAAAAACCTCCTCCCCTAAACTATGAGCTAGTGAGCAATAAAAATGACCGTGAATGTTTATGTTAACCCCCCCCCCCTTCCCCAACCCGTCTTTGATTTTAATTGATATATGAAAGTTCCCTTTCCCAGAAGCCAACACCATCAAGGTCCGGAATGGATCAGTCTATTGTCTATCTGATAAAGCATATCATGCTTTAGAAAATTTTCAGAAAAGTATCAAGTTGTGATCTTGATTCTTTCAAAATTATCAAACTTTATTTTCCCAGTTAAAATTCGCGAGCCTCGCACCCCCCCCCCCTCATCAAAGTAATTCCTATTAGTTGTAAGTGAAGTAAACAAATATTTAGTCATTAGTCGTGGGTTTTTGCACATAATTATTCGTTGCCCAGTTGGCAAAACAGTCTGTTAGTCAGCTAGTTTAAACCCCTTCTGCACTCGAATGTTACGAACCCCCTTAACTTCGCTTTGTTGACAAGCCGACCATTGCTCGGCTTTGCCCACCAACTTTTTCAGCGCTTGCTTTGTGCCGGAGTTAAAGACTGGCAGGTACCGAAAATTACCCATGTACCAACATGATTATTCAACTAATTCTTTTACACTTTTTTGACCCTTTTTAGAGAAATTTTGCTATTACATGGGTGCCTTGTCTATCCAAAGATTTTCCTCACTGGTCCTACATCTTCTTCAACATGTGAACATAAACATGATGATATACGCTACTTATTTTCAGGGCCGTCGAAAGCCACCTCGAACTCAAGTGTGTTTTACAAAACTGGGCCACCCATAGAAAACTTTTGTGACCACGCCCTTCAGCTTTTCAAAGAACTAGGGAAACGCCCTCTTTAGGCGAACTCATGTGTGTTTCACAAAACTGGGCCACCCATAGAAAACTTTTGTGACCACGCCCTTCAGCTTTTCAAAGAACTAGGGAAACGCCCTTTTTAGGCGAACTCAGGTGTGTTTCACAAAACTGTTACGGTACGAAGGTCGAACTTCTATCACGTGCTGGTCCATGTGCGTATCAGCGTGAACATCGTTTTATTAACTTTTATGCTTTTTAACTATTGTTCTGTTCTAGTATCTAATTGGCTGTTATCATGTTCTGTTTTGTTATTGGCTAGCTGTATTTTAGAAAGGGTATAAAAGAGCTTGCCTGTTTTAGAGTAGGAGGCTTTTTACTGTGGGCGTTCCCGCCTTGCCAAAAGAATCGTGGCCGCCGTTTCCCGATGAAAGTCGAAGCGTGTGTCGCTTGAAAGACGTCGCTGTTGTCCTGTTGCAATTCGAAGTATTTAATTCAGAGACGCCACAAGTCGCCAATACTAAAGCAAGCAAGCTAAAGGTGGTGAGTGCTTTGTTTTCATTGTTATTCTTAGCTTTTCTACATTCTTTATATTAAACATTTGAGACTGATTGCCTATGAAGTTATTCGTTGACTCACAAACTGTTAGACTTAGAGGCGTAGTCTAATAAAACTGGGCCACCCATAGAAAACGTTATGTGACCACGCCCTTCAGCTTTTCAAAAAACTAGGGAAACGCCCTATTTAGGTATAAATGTTACAAACGTTTTCTAAGGGTTTCAGACACAACTGTGCAAAAACATTATTTTTATGCGTCAATGACACGTGAACATCTTTTTTCTCTATGATAAACTTATAGGCATTGATTCTTTATAAAAGAACAAGTTTTCTGCATCGTATATACTATAGATCTTGTAAAAAGCTGATAGTAACATGGTGTAAGATTATTACGAGCCGAATCGGAGCACGGGCCTCGGATCTTTTGACCCTTCTAGCCCCCTCTCAAGTTTATTTGACATGTTAGGGTAGAGGGCTCTTCCAAACTTAGGGCCTTATTGGCAAGGGGTGGAGAGCACAATATTTTTTATAAGAAAATTGCTTTAAAAATATTCAGGCTCAGAATTTCCATATTTTTACGAATATTTTAAGAACATTGCTCAGCCTCAGCTCGCATATTTGTGTCTCATTTTTCAGCAGTTGCCAGTTTTACGACGCTTAGAGCAAAGAATCACATGAATGATAATTCTCATTTTGTCAAAAAGCGGTTTTTTCTTGTAGGTATACTGTTAAAAGATTTTTAAGGCCAAAGCGAAAATTTCTTAAGAATTTTAAGGCTGGACAAAATTTATAGAATTCTTATGCAAAGGGTGTAACGAGAATCTAAGAAAGTTATACTTATTTTTAAATTCATATTCAAGTACTTATGTGTCGATACTCGCTTTTAACAACAAAACTGCCGTTGAATATCATTATATTTAACTTTGAAACAGAGTCAGGTTATTTTTCATCTACTCGAAGTCTAATGGAAGGTAACTTGTCGTACCATCAGGCCAAGGGGAATCACTCAAACTTTTATACACGTGGAGGTCCATCCTCAGATATGAAAATTCACCTAATAGTATCAAAAAAAAATTTAACAGAACCAAAATATCAACATAAAAGTGTTGATAAGACCAAAAAATATCAAAATACAAAATCTGTTGCTGAGCGCATAAAAGACCACTAGTCAAGAAACTAATACTGTTTTCTATAATAATCAGTTTAAACACATCTGTTCTTTTATTCATGTTTTGATATTGTTATGTGTTAGCTGAACCTATAATTATCAAAAAGGTATATCAGGCACCGCGGAGCAGGAGGGGGGCTGGGGGGCACTTTTTGCAAGAAATGCCAAGTATTTAGTAATAAACTAACAGTAAAGGTTTTTTATACGGTTTTAGCCCCCCCTCACTTTTTTAGACCCCCTGCTTTTCTCAACGCTCCGCTGTGCCTGTATATTATTAAATCAGGTAACCAAAATTATCGGATCACAAGAAAAATTCTTACCCAAAATTATTGGATAGACACCCTGTATATAAAAAGTTCAAGTGAACCCCTGGGCCATCAGGGATGGTTGCTATGAAAAATTAAGAAATATGCAAAAAATAAAATGTGTCCCCCAACTCGATGCATCTACCCACAAGCAACTAAATATACCTAAAATGTTCAGTTCAGGTCCATAATGTAATCCAACAACATGCATGGTATGCCCTTTATTTCTAATGACAACGAAATTTGAGCTTAACAAAAGTATATCTATGACAATAGCCAAAATAAAATGTTTGGGCAACAATAAATAAAACAACTGGAGGTAACATGATTTAACGAATAGATAGTTTATATCTTTTTAGCTTAGAATGTTTTTTCAGTATTGAATAATTTTTATTGCAGTTCATTTAACGTTAACGATAAAACCTCTGTCTGAGGTAATAGTTTTCATCTGATGTTTTATCTTAATGTAGAAACTATTGCACACACATTTACTGTAAAATCTTCAAGTTCTCGAAAGTAAGAATTTGATATCCTCTTATTTCAAAAGTTTGAATCTGGGTGAAAACAATTTTGTCAGTTTTTTCTGGTGGTCTTAAACCAACCATCTATTTCTCGGACAAGGGCAAGAACCGAAATACAATAAAACGATAAGCAGCTTAATTAAAGAAGCAGTCGAGAAACATTTAAAATAGTAAAAATTGCAATTTGAAATAATTTTAATGAGCTTGTGTGCTCGGCAATAATTGTTTAGTTCTTTAATAAATTTCAATAAGATTTTGTGACATAATATTACGTGATTTTGTCAAACATTTTCTGGTATGTTACCCTGGGTACCAGACTCACTATATATGAAATATTATTTTATATAGCGAGTCTGGTACCCAGGGTAGTGGTATGTCTGTCCTGTCCCGCAACGCCCCACTTGACGCTCTGGAACCCAGGGTATGACTGTCCTGCTGACAGGGACGAAATATAAACACACCCTTTCAGTTCCCTGTGCTAACCAAAATCAAACCTTCACTTTCGGAATGGCGGTCAGTTCCACTCAATAATGGATCAACGCTCGAAGTCAGAAGCTGTGTCACCAATAAAACTACTTAGACTATTTGAGGAAGCTCCCGAACAAGCTGAACGGGTAAGATGCTATTAAAAGTTTCTCTGAAATAAAAGGTAGAAATAGATCAATTTCGTCATGTGTAAATTGGGGCCTATAATATGCTTGTTTTGGGACGGCATTTCATAATGTTTATCTGTCCCCAGATTTTTAGTACTATTATTTGAATTGAAGCATGTGATTTCAAGGTACCAAAAGCTGGCATTGACACAGAGGTGAAGTGCTGTCGAAAGAACAAGGAGGTCTCTCACCTAAAATGTTGCTAAAACTCTACATCCATGCTTTTTTTTAAGAGGAGCGCAGCCCCCCCCCCCTCCCAGCCCCAATTGTGGCATCATGGGAAAAAAGGGTTGTGGGTGAGCACGTCCCTAAATTCTCAGCAGGATTAATTTTGTACTTCTTCTAAATTCAGTATGAGCTTTGTTGGGGGGAGGGGTATGTTCTTCCTGGTGTGAGCTAGTGCCAGTTGTCTCCTATAGAGTACCGAAGTGTGACGTCATCAAAAAAATTTTTAAAGTTCTTTATTTTTGGCCAGAAAACCTGAAAGAACCTGCACAAAATACTCCTCAATATGCAAAATTGGTTAGATATGTTTAAAATTTGGCGCAATATGGTCAATGAAAGATTTAAAGTTTGGTAATGGATTACAATTATTCTTGCCTGATCCATAAAGTTATGAACCAAGACAAAATTATGGAGGCTCTATGGGGACTGGGCCTGTGCTTATGTGGCCATATCTCAACACATTCAACTGATTTACACATTTAGAGGTATTGCAATGCTCTTTTGGGTTATATTTTCAAAGTTGAAAAATTGTAAAAATATATTTTTGTGATGTCATCACCTCAGTACTCCATTGGACAAGTTGAAGATCATCTTGGTAATTGGGTGTTTCCATACAGTAAAAAGAGGTTGCTGCTACTGGCTGCACTACACCTTGGCAGGGACAGATGTAGTGCAGATACTTTTACTCGCAATTTTATTTTACATATATCCATAAGAGAGAAAAAGATATTTACAGCCAGAACTGTTGATAAAGTAAAAGAAGGAATTTTGTTGCTCCAAGGCATAAAATGTGTTCATTCCTAAATAGAGTATATTATAGGAAATAACAACCAAGCCACCATAACAACTACTCTAAAATATTTTAAAATATGTGCTTTGAAGAAATTCTAGCTCAAATTCACCTCAAAATTTAAAGTTGGATATAATCAAAAAAATACATCACACTTCAAACATGAATTATTCTTAAACTTCAATGCCCTGTAGTTTAATACATAGTTGAGATAATTTTTGGGTTTAGCTTTTTTTATATTGTTTAGATATGATAGAATCATGTAAATGCCATCTATACTCTTGGTTTATAGGTTAAATTTTTTCAAAATCTGTCCCTAAAACGTAAGTAGTGATGCTAAGAATTCAGTGAAGTATATTTCATCAAAAATATTGGTGTCATCATTTTCATGTTTGGCAATTTCTGCGTAGATCTATTATGATAACCATAAATTTTTATGAAAAAATTTCACACGCCTGCATGTTTTCAGGCGTGCAGTGGTTAGCACGCCTGCTATATTTTTCCCATGAAAGCCTGGCTCACTTATATTCTTTTTTGTATCGTCTATGTTATACATGCTTAGGTTGCAAAAGATGACTAGAAACATGTTAATTTTTGAGACATTTATTCCTCACAATTTGTGCGAGTGCTAACAGGATAGCGAGTAATCGCTTCTATCAAACAAAAAAGCCTGCAATAATCAACATGTATTATGATATATAGGAAGTCACCAAAAGCGAATAAGGAATTGGTGCATTCTTTTGAATGACTACGAGGTACTTCAAGACTGATCATATGAGGTAATAAACAAATGACAAAAATAACTGATAACACTAATGTTCACATACATTGCTAGAGCCAGTGACAACACCTGCCTCTAAGGTGCCGAGGGAGGGGGGGGGGAGGGATATCACAATGTTTGGTCATGCCCTCTTTACTGTCAGAAAGCACACCATATAAACAGGGAACACCCATTTTTACAAAAGGCAATGCTAAAGACTAATTTTGTAATTATCTACATTTTATAATGACAGCACAAAGCATACTTTGCCAAAATATTACCCCTACCCTAGCATTTTCTCAACAGTTAGTTCTCTTAAATTCTTGGGGGATGTGTCCCAATGTGGCATTGCTAAACCATCTGCCAATGTATTGATAGATCCAGCATTTAAGAGCTAAATGCCTACGTATCCAAACAACCTCCCTTCAAAGAACAATGCTAGCAAAAGTTTTCTTTGTTCTTCTTCTTATGTCTATTTCCACTATTTCCATATTCAATAATTACTGATTCTGAAACAGTCCAATAAAATGACAAGGATTGCAGCTGTTTCTTGTCAGATGTGTACCAAAAAGCTGTTTTATTATATAATTCCAAAGGTTCAATATATGTATGAGTATGTCTTTGAGAAAAGCAAGCATTTCACAACATACTTAAAGCTTTCTTGTCTAACACTCCTCAGAGTATAAAAGGTCAGAATAAGGGTCCAAAGGAACGCAATGGAAAATATATAACCAGTTGTGGATGGAAATAGGCCAATCAGAAAAGCACAGCACATTTTGATCCGCAACTGGGTGGGGAGTGTCAGGTGAAAAAGCTTTATGTATGTTGTGAAATGTTTGCTTTTTTTCAAAGTCATTTGAATTTCTTTACAGCCAGAAAATTGTTCAGATATGTATTAGACGATGCTTTCCTAAAGGGATTTTTTAGATCTTATATTTGTTTCACTGCTGGTACTCAAGCACTAAGGCCAACCAGTATCTGTTCCTGCTTACTGTCACTATCTTGCAAAATTAAATCATGTCTCATTTCATAACAATGGAAGTCTTCCTCTTTTCAAAAGTTCTCTTATTTTCTAAATTCTCTTATTTACTTTTAGAAACTGTGGTTCTGCCTTTTTATATATTTGAAAATTCTGCAACCCCTTCAATCCAGACATCTCTACTAAAATATTTAGACAATCTTCCACTTGCCTAGTGTCAATCTTTGAAATTGCTGAATTCTTTTAAACTAAAATGGTAAAAAATCCTCAAAAATTAGTTTTAGTTCAAATCAATTCAAGTTCTGAAAACGAACAGGAGAAACTGGTAAAAAATATGGAATTCATATGCTGACCAGTCCAAGGAACACAAACATCAATTTGAAAGTGTTATTTTATATCATTAGTCTTTGAGACATTAATATCAATGTTTTGATTTTTATGGTGTTATATAAAGCACTTGTTGATTTTTGCTATTTACAGGCTAGAGGCCTAAAACACCCAAGAAGACAGTTTGCACCCCTAGTTTTACTGCCAGGTGAGACATTAATTCTGCAACAGGAGAATGTAACTTGTGTTGGCACTCTGACTAATCTTGCAACTGGAGTGTTGTATCTCAGCTGTTACCGTCTTGTATTCAAAGGAACATTTTTCCAGGTATTTATAATTTGATTTTATAAGCATTCTTCTTTAGGAAATTTCCTCTTTGTTTTGATGGTAATTTTTTTGAGCATTTGTTACAGTTGCCAGCTATATCAAATCTCTTGCTAGAACATTTTTTAGGACTGAATTTCCCACTATGCATATTTAAGTCATCTGAGATAGTTTGGTGATATGATTGAGTAGTATTTTATTTTAGCTGTTGTCTTCGAAATATAGATATGTTTTCTTTGTTTTAAGCTTTCAGACTTGGTAGGAATGATATAGTATAAAATTAAATAAGTACACCAAATAGTTTAAGCATGATGCTCAAACAAAAAAATGCATTATAAACAATAATATGACCTAATGTAGAAATATATCAATAGTGATGCTAGCTACTGTTACTCTGGACATTTGATTAAACCACAACCTTTTGACCAAAATTCCTGCCTTTGCATTATTTCGGCGTTGCACCCTTCCACTATTTTTCATAAATAGATAGAAAAATACCCTCTACCCATACTCAACTCATTTTACCAATTTCAGAAAAGTTAGGTGGACCATGTTTTGACATAAGTAGGGAGG